TTTTTTTTTTTTTTTTTTTTTTGTAATATCTCACGAGTCTGCTTTAGCCGGTTATAGATCACCATAAGATTTGTCTGATATTTTCTGTTTTAGCCCGATCACCATAAGATTTATCTGTTAGAGAGAGATTTTCACACCTTACAAAAAAAAATGGCGGGCTTAGAGCTAGGTTACCAGGCTAGTAAGGACACTGTTAATCCTCAACAATCCTCCCCTCGAACAAAATACACTATATAAGCCTCTCCTTAATCGAGACTCGATTCCTTTCTCTCGAACAAAGTACACCATTTGTTCGACACTTTAGTCACTTTTGATTACACATTTGAGGCCCACAATGGTATGATATTGTCCACTTTGAGCATAAGCTCTCATGGTTTTGCTTTGGGCTTCCTCAAAAGGCCTCATACCAACAGAGATAGTATTCCTCGTTTATAAACTCATGATCTCCCACTAAAATAACCTGACTCACTCTCAATAATTCTCAACGAACACTGGCCGCTAAGGGAGTGGATTGTAAGATCTCACCTACAGGAAAATTAAATATTTTTGATAAAGGTGTGAAAATCTATCGTAACAGATTAATTTTTTAAAATTTTAAAGAGAAGCCTTAAAAAAAGAAAGTAAAAATAAACAATATTTAATAGGAGCGGACTCAAATGTAAATTATTTATTATTATTATTTTTAAATATAAATATAAATTTCATTATACTTTTAATTTTTAATCGCGTGCGGTATTTAGTTAATTTTAAGAAAATATGAAATTGTCGGATGAAATTTATAATTTTAAAAGTTTTAAGAATTAAAAAATAGAAAATTCAATTTATTATATAAAAATAAATAAATAAATAAGTGTGGAGTAACCGAAAGAAATGGAAGATTTGGGTTGACGGTTGTTGTTGGGTTGCAGATCGGAAATCCTCTTCTGGACATCCAAGTAGACGCGAATGCCCTAGACCAGTACTGGTGGTCTCACGGCCTCATCTCCGACGCTGCCTTCCACCTTCTCAATTCCGTCTGCAATGCATCTCGTCTCGTCACTGAAGGAATCACCAGTTCCCTCTCTCCCCACTGCATCTTCGTCGCCACTAACGTTTCCAAAGAGCTCTCTCCTGCTATCGACTACTTCGATGTTGTCGCCGGCGACGCTTGTCCCTCCGTCAACGCCTCCGAGTTCGCCGATCTCGATCGCAACGATCCTCTGCGGTTCACTCTGTTCCGCGACTTCTTACATGGCCAGGTGAGTTGATTCTTTTCGCGATTTAGGGCTTTTTTTTTTTTTTGTTTTTCTCTGGCTGTGTGATCTGAAATTTTTGTTCTGTTCGATGTTTTGTGTAGAGTACACGGGAAGATCGAGATCCGTGTGTGGGAGAATTTGTAGCGAAGTATTTGAATCGAAAGGATGTGCAGAAAGCTCTTCATGCGAAGGTCGTTGGATTTTCGGAATGGAGACGCTGCCGATTGAGGAAGTAAGGCTGCGATAAACCTTTTTTTTTTCTTTTGTCTAGATTTTCGTCTGAGATATTGAGTTTGATTTTTTATCTGGATTTTTGTTTCGTTAGAGAATGGAAATATGATCTGAGGAACAGATTGGTGCCAACTATCGATATCGTTGGCGCGCTCGTGAAGTCCAAAATTCGAGTACTGGTCTATAGGTACGCTAAATTCTACTTGCTCTATATATACCTTCTTCAAATTCTCATTTTTGATTTCTTTAACAAAATCTTCCAATGTGAAAGTTAATCGCAACATTTCAAAAAATGTAACCGTAAATTTGTATTAAATAATTTCAATTGTAACATTTGATCCATAATACTAATTAGGCACGAACATTTTTTACTGAATTGTGGCAGTGGAGATCAAGATTCAGCTTTACCATTTACTGGGACTCGGACATTGGTGGATTCACTAGCTAAGTCATTGGATCTGTACCCAACTGAGCGTTACAGAGCCTGGTTTGCTGATAAAAAGGTCACTCACTTTTTCACTCATCCCAACAAATGCTCATCCAAAATTCTAACATTTTCTCTTTTTGCCTTTTTCATTGTCTCGTCTATGTTATTTTTCACTTTTTCCTAATAACCCATTCTGTGTTCTTAGTCAAATTAAATTAACAAAAAGTGTCCGGTAACCATATATGTATATACTTTAGCTTTGAAAATTTCTTTGAATCCTATAAACTGTTTTTTTATGAGAAGCAAACTTGCATACATATTGGTTAAGTAGTAGGTCCTATTTGTTCTTTATAATGTACATTTACGTTGGATTTAATATAATATATAAGTGATTCTAGGACTATTTGTTTAATTAGTTACTGGAAATAAAGTTATAATTCATTAGTGTATGCAAGTATAATCTGTTCTTCTTTTCTGAAATAGAAATTTTAGAACAAATGACATTAAATTTGGTGATTTTGTTTGATGAACTAACAAATCATGTCGTGTTATAATTTACTAATGTATGCAAGTATGATCTGTTTTTCTTATCTGAAACAGAAATATTAAAATAGTATGATCTGTTTTTCTTATCTGAAACAGAAATTTTAAAACAAGTGATGTTTGATAAATTAACAAAGCATGTCGTGTTATAATTCACTAGTGTATGCAAGTACGATATGTTCTTCTCTGAAATAGAAATTTTGGAACAAATGATATTAAATGTGGTGATTTTGTTCGATGAATTAGGTTGGGGGCTGGACACAAGCCTATGGGAAGTTCTTATCCTTTGCCATTGTGAGAGGTGCATCTCAAAGAACAGCACAAACTCAGCCCAAGAGATCTCTACTACTTTTCAAGTCGTTTTTGGCTGGAAAACCGCTGCCGGAAGCCTGATCAGGTATTTAGAAGGAAAGAAAAAATAAATAAAATGAATGAAATGAAAAGAAAACTGTCTTTTTTATGCTTCTTTTAGGGTGTGGGGTCTGTCATCCCCACCTCCAATTACTCAGAAATCAGATAAGAGCTTGGACAATTGAAGCTCTAATAAATTAACAATGGCTGTAAACAGAGATCATCTATACATGACTTCTGCTGTGTAACTTTTTTCCCCTTTAGTTATTTTGTATCAATGGTGATTTCAAGATATTATTAGGTTGAGGAGACCTGGTCGAAAGTTTCACAGTTTTTCAAAATTTAAGGTTTGTTTTCCAAAATATTTTTATTAGAAACATTACTGGGAGTGTTTGTTAAAAGTTAAAATCCAATTTTTTTTCCCCATTTTCAAAAACATTTCAAAATCAATTCAAGATTTAATTTTGCATGACATGTTTCGAAATGTTCCGAAATAAATCGTACAAGTAATTTTGACCATTTCAAAATTGATACGTTCAAGCTTAAAACATTTTTGGCATCATTATCTCACCCCAAATGTCTTATTCAACACAAATCAGAGAAGGGAAAGATGAAGCAACAGAGGAGGCAAGAAGAGAGAGGAATAGTTTATTTTAAATAAGAGTTTTCTACTGAATAATAAGAAAACAGAGCAACAGATTACAAAACTATGGCACTGCTGTGTTAACAACTTGTAATTTTCATGGCCTCACCAAGTTATATTACAGACCAATATCATCCCTGTTATTGCTATCCAAATAAGTCTATTTCCCTACTCTATCCAGCCAGATATAAAGCCAAAGCGTCTTCAAAGCTGAATCTCTAACATGTCAACTAAAAATCTTCTAAGCAGTACTACAGTACTCTAACCAGCTTCCAAACATAGGGACAAGAGCTGCTTAACTTGCCACAGTAAAATTTTCGAGGTAACCGAGACTTCACCGAGCTTTCCAATTTTTGATGGCATTACATTAGAAAAGCCTAATGTATGCTATCAGCATGAACCAACCTCAGCTGCAACATGCTCTTTTAGATTGTTTGCAGGAGAAGACATACTAAAACTTCTACAGACCAAAAAGAAATCTACTAATTTACATGATAATACAAATTCTGAAATGAACTCTCAGTTGGCAAGTAGAAATGGTATGGCCAATTTGACCCATTAAAGCTGTTAACCCTTGAGTGAAGATTTGGCCCAAGTAAATTCTACCTGGTAACTTACTGCCTAGGTACGGGTGGCGGCGTCGACTGCTGGCCTTGCCCATAAAAACCTATACCTGGTGGCCGATAAAATCCTGCTGAAGTAGGCAGTGTCAGCTGAGGCTGCTGCTGCTGAGGCGGCTGAGACATTGGCCTGCTCAAACCCATTGCAATATGAGGAGGCAAAGGAGGTGGAGGTGGTAGAGAATATGCTCCAAAACTATACGGTGATACCCCCATTAATCCACCAGACTGCGCATATTGATTCACTGGTGGAGTTGAGGATAAAGATGGTGGTGCTGGTGGAGGTGGTGGAGCAAATGAAGCTTGACACGGGTTCGCCTGGGATACAGGTTGCCCGTTTGCTGATTGTGCAAGTGGCACACTTGTCAACTGTTGTTGTTGTTGTTGCATAGGTGTAATGAATGATGCGCCAATACCATCTGAACCGCTGACATCGGATATAGGCATTGGCTTCTCAAGTTTCTGTCGTTTCTCAGAGGGGAATATGGACAATGAAGCAAACCCAGATGATTTTAGGCTACCATTCATGGAAGCAGCTTCTTCTGCAACAAGGGATGAAAGAACAGAGGTAAGCATCTGTGCCGAAGATGTAGAAGCAGCCAACTTCGCAGCAACAGCAGCAGCAGCTGCTCTCTTCGTTTCATCTTCACTGGTTTTAGGACCAGCAAAAGAAGCCATAGCCTGGACAGGAGAAGCGATTGCGTTCTGTTGGACAGAAGGTAACTTAGTATCAATCACATGGGTCGTTTCTGTCGGTACATTAATGGTAGTAGCTGAAGGACCAGGAACTGGAGTCGAAGTAGATCTCTTCCGAACATTACTTGCTAGCTCAATTTGAGATCGAGCAATCTGCAGAGTCACAAGCAATAATTTCCAATATACATAAGCAAACTGAAATTAGAAAATGCCGAACTCTAAAGCTAATTGTTTTACGTTCCCCATAATACGTGATATATTTCATATTAGATCTCCGTCCATGTGAATGGTAGAAAACAATCAACAAGTTGACAGAGATGGATACAGTCAAACTTAAAAAGACCCCTAAAATCAAATGTGTCCACATAACTATACACTTCAACAAGTTCATTCAGTTTGATCTTTCTCCTATACGTACTTGCTACAGTAAAATTCTTATTGTGATCACTTGCTCAAGGGTGTCTATGTCCACCACCACCATGTGTCTACAATGAAAGAATTATATTAATCTGGTACTCTGATTTAAATGTTTCAAGGCGTACCAAAGTTTAACGTTTTGACATCCAAATGTCTTGAACCATATTTCAATGTTCCAAGGTATCAAGGACATATCAACCCACCTTCAAACTAACTTTAGGCCAACAGGTGATCCCAAACCTAGACTCTTCCTACTTCAGAAAAGAAAATATAAAGAGAGGTTTATCTTACCTGCAACTGATTGCGAACTAGTTCCAGCTTTGATTCCTGTAATTTTTCCCAGAGAAATCAACTTTACAATGTAAGTGTCTCAAAAATATCGAGGAAGCTTGCAATCAGGATAAATAATTGGAGGAAATAGAAAAGATTACTTGGTCCAGAAGCGCTTCTACAAGCAAGGAAACCAAAGAAGCCCTAGTTGCCTCAACACTTTCGAGTTGCCTAATACATCGTTGAATTACATTTTCCTGCTCTTGAAGGTCGTCAAGCAATGCAGACCTTGGTTGAGTTCCTATTTTGGAAGGAAAGTACAGGGAGTGTTTCTCTTATAATACGTTTCAAGGAATAAGGACTCACGACACAACCATAAAAATATAGCAGTAGGAATTCTATATGCCAGAAAAAAATAAGCCCGAGAACTGGGGAGCTATAATGTTATTAGGGGCATGAGAAGGCAGAGATCTTTTTAAAACAAGAAATATAATTTTTTATCGAACATATGAAAAGAGACGGATGTTTCAAAGATATGAACTCCAAGAAGAGTGAAAGAAAGTAAGGAACAAAACTGTAACACATAAATGAACCAACCAACAAAGAAGTAGCGAGCTAACAAACAACAAAGTCCGTCAAAGACCCTGTATTGACAAACAGAAGATGGGGCGAGCTGACGGACAGTGAAGGACGTAAGATGACAAATGACAGCCTACACAGGAGACATGACGCAAACAGCCTGATTGCAGGTCACAATGTTGCAGGTAATGAGCCGAAAGGACAGGTCGTGGTAAGGTGGTATGAAGCAGTATACCTACCTAGGCATGGCTCTTAAATCTGTACCCTCGAGTTACCTAGTGCCTATGATGCATCTTAAAACACTGATATTAAGTACATAGATCTATGTACAGCACAAATTCTCAATTTAGTTTGATCTGATATCCTATACAGCGAAGTCCAACACTACCAATCGCGTTACAAGGCAAAAAGTAAAATAAATAAATAAATAACAAAGAAAAGCCCATCACCAAAACATTCAATTCTCATGAATAAAGAGATTTTTTTAACCATAGATAACTTCTCAATGATATAATGAAAAAGTATAAATTGAACCTATCATAAATATTTTTAATAGCACACTCTTTACAAGCTAAAATACTTGATTATTTTGTTCTATCGAATGTCTATATAGCATGACTAGCACCTTTTACAAAAGACCACCTTTATAATGCAAAGCTTGGCTTACTTGACAACATCTTAAACTAAAGTTGCATGAGATGACTATAGTAGATGAGGTTATACCTTGAGCTAAGGAAGCATTCAAGTCTTCCTCAATTTGATTCAGATGATGAGTAGCAGAACTACAGTCGTTCAGAGCAGCATCCTCATTCAGATGTTCATCAAGTACAGATTGAAATGCAGTAAGAATCCTCTCTGGAACACCTCCAACAGCCAGTTTCTAGAGTAAACCAATAAAGATATAGGGGTCATAACACAAGAAATAAAATGGAAACTGCAATATTCCGCTGCTACCACAGCCAAGCTCTTACAATTCTCACAGAGTGGGCATCCCTCTTCACTATTTTTTTAGGATTTGAACTCTTGCCATTGCTGCTGGGTAATGGAGTTGGAGGTGGATATTTACCAAGCATTTCATCCTTAAGATTCTGACCCCGAGAACCAAAAACCTTCCTTTCTTCCCAAATGTTGACCTTAACAAACCAACTCCCATGAAGGGAAACAAGGCATAAGAAAATGAGTGAGACAAATGGAATCCCAACTAAAGAAATAACACCAAAGATACTGTCACAAGAAAAGATGGGAAGGGAGGAACTGCATCTTACTATTACAATGTAAATCAACATTACAGGGCTTGCGGATTTCAAGCAGCAAATAAAAACAAAAAATGCACGAGAGGATAATTTAGAAGGAAATGTCGATCAATCAATCTGTAACCAAAAAAAAAAAAAAAAAAG